CGGACACTCCTTGGGTGACTCGGACTTGGACTCGGACTCGAACACAGGTAATGATGACTCGGACTCGGACTCCACTCGGACACTCCTTGGGTGACTCGGACTTGGACTCGGACTCGACTACGACTCTCCCTTGGTGACTCGGACTTAGACTCGGACTCGAAGAGTGGTGACTCGAGAGTGACTTGGACTCGTGAATTGGTGACTTGACTACAACACTGGTAGGATCTACAGTATAGTTTGATAGATATTACAAAGATGATTTGAGGTCTCGCCAGGAGAACGTGTATATACTACGTCTTTCCCCTATTAATCTCTATTGACGGCAGCGTCCATGTAAAGTTAGCGTCAACCCTCACGGGGTGAAAACATTATTTCTGGTCTCGAAGTTTTCATAATAAAACCGTATTCCCCTCACTGTCAAATGATTTTACAGTGATATCTGCAGTACTCATCCACTAAAAAACATCAGTTTATCCTTGTTAATTACACGACATTAATTGGTTTAAATTGTGTACACTGCTTTTGTGTTTTTCCCATAGGTTTTTCTCTTTCGATTCTGAGAGACACATTTCTTTTTTCAGAGGTTTTGATAGGCTAAAACATTGAATTACCCATAATCCTCAGCTATCGTTGAAGCTCGGTGATTGGATGTTTTAGCCACAATGCACGTTGGGATATGGTGTTTATGCGATATGAAATCCGAAAACATTTAAAAAAGAAAATAAGACTTTATTCCGAGTGTGCTTGCTTTTCTCTTTGAAAGTCATCACATAACGGCATTGTAATACACGGTTCGGCTGCATTAAATATTACACATCTGCCATAGTTCTCTATTTATAGAGCCCTGATTAGAAGACCTTTGGACAAACTGGAAGAAATGCCGCCGAAACTGAATACGTGACGTGGATCATAAATATATCAGCAATTAAACAACATCTTCAATTTCTCTTCACACAATACGTCTCCTTGCAGTATCAATAGTAATTCGGTAAATTGGTAGATAGGCTATATTTACACCATAACAGCTTATAGAAAAGGAGTTGTAGTTTTTAAAGATATTACTGATTTTCTTTGAATTAAAGAATGTAAATACTGAGTTGAGAGAATAGTCAGGGGTTTTGGGTGATGGGAGACACATCTATGGAATCAGAATTTCAATAGCTTACCATTAAATGACGGATATACCTTTCTGTCAATGATGTTTTACAAATCAGATATTAATGTGTAGAACTACAATATGTGAAATAATATAGCAATATCCTGTAAAATTATGTGAAAACATGAATAAAACTACATATCTTCAGATGTTATACATACATAAGTGTCCTACACTAATAATACAAAGTTATTATGGCATTGTATGATGTGTGTTATTTGTAACATCTTCAGAAACACTTCCAACTCCTCACCAGTTGACTGTTACAGGTCTATACAGGTTCATGGTACAATGCATAAGCTTCAAATCGAGAGACTGAAACTGTATTTTTCTTTACCGTTCTGTTTTCATTTCACAATAAAGTTAATAGTAAAATGATGTTTGATATTATTATGTTTTATTAACTAGACCACTGGGTCATGTTAAGACCATCTTTGCTGTCGGTTTGGTGTTACAAATATCAAAACAATATATGTGTGGATAACAAAATAAATCCGTCATAAACTAAACTGGAAACTTATACTGGAAAGTATAATTTATTGTGTTAACACTGTAAACTTGACAGTTTTTTAACCTGCACCGCCTAGTGGTTAAAGTTATTGAATTTTTTTGTTGAATATGTTATATTTCATGAAAAAATTAGAAGGTCAATGATAGAAATATAGAATAGAAAATATCAAGAAGATACTGTAGTGATCGCTACAATAAAACAGTTTAGTGCAGGACGTCCAGGAGGATGTGCAAAACAGACAAACTAATAAGGCTTTATTTAAACATTAAAGAATACTTTAAGTTAAGGTCTTCTTTTGAATAAGAAAAAAACGTTGGGGGTATCTACAGATAAATATGAAGTCTGACAAAGTACTTAACGTCTAATATATTGCATAGTTTATTTTGGCACTTGACAATCACCTTCCCTGAATTTTACTCAGGTGTAACTAAAGTCTGCTATATGGGTGGTATATATTTCACATCATTAATCAGAATCTGCAAAGTAACTCAAATAAATGTAGCGGAGTAAAAATACCAGGTTAACCTCTGAATTGTAGTGGAGTAGAACAAAGTAGTACATGCTGCTGTAACAAAAACATTTCCCAACTTGGGATCAATAAAGTATATCTTATCTTAAGATGGCTACTGCCATATTTGCAAAATTTGCCTTTGAACCTGCATGTTTCAGGCTTATCAATTAACAACAGGAGGGGTCACAGACATAAGACCAGCTATTAAATAAAGCTCTTCTTACCTAAGCTGTCATGTGGGTATATTAATCCTGCCCATTATGGACACAAGCCATTTTCACCCATTTATTAATTATATGTTTTAAATTTGATAACACCAATGTGTTTCCCATCCCCTAAACCTCCAGGGATGTACACAGTTTAATACTGGCAACTTCTAATTATGGGAAATACGAAAACGTCTTTTAAAACTACAATTCCCAGTAGAGACGTGCCATAGAACATGTTGCGAAACACAATAGCCAGCATGTGTAGTTCTGGGGGGGTGGGGTAGGGGGGAGGCGGTGGACCCATTCAAATCCAGTTTTGGATAGTCTGCCGTGGTTTCATTCCATTTCAAAAAGCTGTTTGACGCTCGTCGTAACCTTGGCGCACTGCCACTCAGAGGTTGCGCTAGACTTTTTCGCTGCCCGTCATTTTGACGGACAGGATCGTAACATTTCAAACTCAGTGGCGAGCTGTGACTTTTATACCTAGGCCCTCTGACCCCCCCATCCCTCGAAAAAAAAAAAATAAAACAATTACGTCACAGCGTAAAACAACGGCCCGGGGTGCAAAACGCATCAATGACAGCGACCCTCTACCACACAAAACAACACCATTTATATAAACACCTATCATGACAGGGCACCCACAGCCAAGTAACAATTAAAAATGAATTAAGTCGGCACGGCGGCCCACATTGAAAATGACTTAGGCCTACCTTTAAAGATCAAATCACTTAAACACAAAGTCCATCCTCCTGTCCTTTTGGATGAAGCACTTGATGGCGGGGGAGACATGCTAACGCTAATGCTACATTAGCGTCGGCGATCTTTTCTACTTCATGCTATCTGCACAAATGGTTAACATTGAACATTAAAAAGATCAGGCAGTTCAGGGAGAATCGAAGGAAGGCAGGTAGCCAGGTAGCTTTGCAAGACATTCTTCTGGACGTGTTTCATTGTGGTGATAGTGAGGGTAGTCAATCCCTTATTTGGCAAGACAGTAGTGACGGCCATCTTGGTGACGTGTGTTGTTGTGCGAGACCAGAGATGTAGTTCATTGAGCGGTTTCACACAAAAAAAGTCTTACTTCAAAGTTTTACGGCAAAACATATTTTTTTTTACTAGCAAAATTATCTTTTAAATTGACAAACATCATGTGTAATTCGTGGCACAATTCAAACGGGATCGAAAGATAACTTTTCTCTCGCCATTGACTTCAATACATAATTTTTCCGAAATAAGGTCCCATCGAGGTCCACCGGAAAGGGAGGGACTTCTCCTCTCTATAGCGGGCCCTCTGTGAATTTACAGCAGGACCACCAATCAGCTCCTATCTTCACAGCAACTCGCAGAGACGGCTCAAAGAGCTTCTCTCATTTAACCCTTCACATTCAAACAGAAACTGAACAGGCAGATTCAAAGGATTTATTTCTTTGGAAATGTTATTTTAAATACAATTAAATCAAGTTATTTTGGTAAAACTAATGAAAAATATAACTAAAAAAAGATTGAAAAATATATATTTTTTTAATGTTTTCAAATATTATTTTTTTGAATATCTTAGGCTCGCCACTGATCAAACTATAGATCCTACACATCCACTGGACGTGGATTCTAAAAGTACAATATACACTTCTCGCTAGAAATCAAATCAAAAAGCATTTTAATGGCCAAACTATTCTATAATTTAGGATTTTCCAGAGAGGGTTATTTGTGAATATACGACCCTCCGGAGCGTTTGCAATCAACGGGAGCATCAGCCCATATGCCGCAAATTGTTGTTTCCTACACGGCCACTAGAGGTGCTAAACTTTAAAACGTGACTATAGGTCGTAATAAGCTGCTGAACAATCAACCTATTTGGTCGTTTTTTGGAGGAGGACAGGCTGGAACATACATGCTGGGGAAAGCGTTTGAAGTCCATTGGTTGAAAAATGTGACTCATAGATCACCATAGATGCAAAATATAAAAAAACATAACTAATATTATTGTGCTATTTGAGCATAAAAAAATAGTTTTTGCTAAGGATTTATATTTTAAGTCTCCATGATGATCAATAAGTAACATACATCATTTATTGCCAAATGTCTATTAAGGAGACTACACACAAACATGAACTATTGTGAAGGCATGATACATGTAGCAGAAGAAGCAGGAAAACCTATGGTAGTGTAGGAAGAGTTGTGCTTTGTTTTTATGTGGATGCACTTTTGGTACAATAGGTTATCAAATGTCCTGAATCAATGTTTAACTTCTCAGTTTAAGAGAATATACACCTTAATGAATCACTGTAGTGAACATGTAACCGTTTGAATAAAAATAACGATACAGAAAACATGAATTAGCTTCATTTGCTTTAACACAGATATGAGTGGAATCTGATGCTTGTATTGCTGTACTGCAGTTTGACCACTAGGGGTCACTGTCCCGTCACAGAAGCCACCATGCCGGGTTTGGGGGGGGGCTAACCATTAGGCATTCAGTCTGGGTCAGGTGGAACAGAACGGGTGATTGGTTTACGATCCGCCATGCTGTCTCCTGATTGGTCAGAGAGGTGTGAGAGGCGAGAGAGCCCAGCGCCAGCAGCAGTGTATCTGCTCCAGTCCCCGCTGACTGCCGGTGCAGTACACACACCCACACTGAGGGCTGCGATGTGACTGTTTACCAGAGGAATACAGCGTGTTTCTGTGGGATTTTCTCTCTACTGTCAGCCGGATAATGCGAGAGGACAGGCGGGGAGTCATGTTGGCCATGCGGGACACTTGTGTTGCGGTTCTTCTCTGTGTGCTGAGTTCGGTGTGCGCAGTCGAAGGTAGGTGTGCTAAACGGGACATTTTTCACTGTTCATTTAGGCTAATTGTGATTCAAGCTGCCCCACTGCTAACAACCATTGTTCTAATAGTCTCACAGTTTAACTTTTTGTAGACCAACATAAACTTATTTTGTCATTTAGGTGCTTCAGTATTTATCAGTAAGTTTTCTTTTTCGGGGGGCATTACTATGAAGGCTAATTTTCGACAGTAAAGGTATGCAATATGTCATATTATTTGTTTTGCTGCTGCTCTACCAATAGGCTATGTTGTTAGTCTACTGTGGAGTACACATTTGTATTTACACCTAGATTTATACCATCATCATTATAAAATCGTCTTGAGAGGAATAATATGCATGCAACTAACCACCAAGCATGAAATAGCATAATAATGTTTATTTTATTTTCATTTTTTAATCATAGTGAGTGATGTTATAGGCTTAAATTACATCAGGGATTCACTCCTAACCAATATCTTATGATGTGTATTCTCTGTGTCATATATTGTGTGGTGTTTAGTGCCAAACATCACTGTGTTTCTTCCTCTCCAGTGCACTGTGGTGGCGCTATTAAATCCCCCCCTGCTGCTCACCTGGAGCAGCAAAGTGAATCATAATTATAGCTCACAGGTGCTCAGTCACTCCATGTAGCTGCACCCCCTCCCCTGGTTCTCCCCCTCCTGCCTCCCTTTAAGGCATCATCTCCCCCTGCTTTTTGGCAAACATCACCTTCCGCCTCTTTTGTTGCCCGTCTACAAGTATGATCTCCTGCTACGTCTCCCGAGCATTACCAGCTGATTCTCCTGCTGCTTCTCTTAAAGCCTCTCCCACCGCCACTGCTCAATTTCCAGCGTCACATTTTACTCCTGCTGCTCCTTCTCATCCTCCAACACCACCTCCTGCTTCTTTTGCTGCACCTCAACAAGTATGCCATCCTGCTACTTCTCCCAAAACATTATCAACTCATGCTCCTTCTGCTTCTTCACAAGCATCCCTCCTCCTGCTCCTTCTTGGACCGCTGTACCTGTTGCTGCCCATTTGCAAGCATTACTCCTGCTATTTCTCATCAAACACTGTGTTGCTGCTTCTTCTTCCTAAGCTCCACCTTCTGTTCCTTTCCGAGAATCACATTTAACTCCTGCTGTCCTACTTTTTCTCAAGATCAACGTATTCCTCTTCCAGCATTTCCGCTTCCCTACCTGCTCTTTCTTCTGATCTTACAGTCTCCTGTTGTTCCTCTCAGAGCATTCTCCTCTGTTGCTCACCCCTAAGAATCTATCCTTCCACTATGATCTCCTCCTCTTCTGTTACTATTGATCCTTCCAGTGTTCCTTCCAAAACATTACTATGACTTGTGTGTTGCTCCTGCTTGCTATTCCCAAAGATCACCTACTGGAACTGCACCTGTCCAAGCATGTCCTCCATGTGGTACAACAAAGTATACTCCTGCTGCTCTTCCTCAAGCATCGTTTTGTTCTCCTTCCAAAACATAGCATACTGTTTCTCCCTTTGCTCCCGTTCAAGTATTTTCCTCTTGCTTTTCCTCCCCATGCATCACTTCACTTCACCTGCTGCGTTTCTAGCTCACTCCACCCATGCTAACTCCTTCCTTTCTGTTCTTCTTGAATGCTATTCAAATTCAAAGCATATCCTTCTGCTCATGCCAATGCTGCTCCACCACCTTAAGATCCTCTTTCTCCTATTCTTCTTATTTCCTTACATCTTGTTTACCAGTATTTTCGGGCTTGCTACTCCCCGCGTCCTCACCTTTACCTCCTGCAGTATTTAGCTTACACTCCCTTGTCTTCTATCGTGTCTCTTCTTCCTCATCCTCCTCCTCCTCCTGCTGTCCCTTATGGAAGCGCTAGATTAGTCTACTGCTGTGTTTTAATGGTGCGTGTAATGACGGGCTGCGTAGTAAGTTTCCCTCATTATGAGACATGTAAATGTGTTGAAGGGTAGGTCTACTTTGATTACACAGAAAGGTGTGTGTGTGGGCGAGAGGTAGGAGGTTAAGATGAAGGAGAGACAAAAATGTACAGTGTGGGCGGGGGTTGTTTTGTGGTCACGGTGGCCTTTACATGGCAAGTAGGTGCTTAATGAACTGATGTTCAAGTGAGTGTTGGTGTAAATAGACTCTCTGCTGACAGTCACTGCCGCTCGGTGCACACTTTCATATTCCCATCTGCACACTTCCACACTTTATTTTCACCGTAATAATGGAATATCAAAATTGTTGCTGATTGTGCACCTGCTAATTTAATTAATCAAGGGGTGGTTTGTGTTGACCTGCAGTGTTTTATAGTTCCCTGTGTAAAATAAAAACAGTAGAACAAATTAAAGCCTTTTAATATATTAGTGAGGTTCTGATCAAATGTTGCTCGAAAGTGAATTAATTGTTTACAAAAGGCTTGCTCTTTTTATAGTTCAGTACTCGACTGCAAATAAACACATTTTCATAATAAATTAAAAATGATTATGTTTTTTTTTAACCATTTGTATGAAAAAAGCCTATTATAATTTTCAGGATCCCAAGAAGGAGTCTTCATATTCCTTGTTTTGTCAGACCTTCTCTAGAAAACTCCAAAAGTATTTAGTGTCCTGTGAAATGACAGTAAAAAAAGCAGCAAAACCTCAAAGTGGTACTTTATGTTGTGCTTAAATTTGCTTTAAAAGTCAAGTATCATACTAGTTTCCCCTATCTTCCTCTGTTTTTCTGCCATTTCTGAAATGTAGTTATGCCCTCACTAGGGATGCTCCCATCGCCAATTTTGGGGCCGATCGCCGATCGCCGATCGCCGGAATCAGTATCTGCCGATACCGATCGCCGATCCGATCGAGTGGGCGGGGCCTAAATGGAAGATTTAAACATCACTTTAAATCTTCCATTTAAAGTGATGTTTAAAACTCAGTTAATGGGGCTCATTCACTGGAGCTTCCACAAACAACAATCAACTTAATTATTACATTCAAATTATGTATATTATTCAAGTTTACATTCACTTTGGATAATAACACGGGAGAAATGAGCAAGCGCTCTCTTTTCCTCTCTCTCCCTCTCTCTCTCCCTCTCTCTCTCCCCCGCTCTCCCTCTCCTGACAGCCCGTCAGTATCGTCTCATGCAGCTCGCTGATCCAGTAATGTGTGAGGCCGACAGTGAAGAATACACATATTTATAACTAGTTTAGCTTGTTCCAGAGGTAGATAAAATAGCTAAGTGTGTTAGGTCTAACTCTTGTGTGTTTCGCTCCGCTCACCGCTCCGTCACAGCGGGTGGAGCTGCAGGATTTCTGCTTCACACACACGTTGCATACCGCTATTTTACTGTCTTTTTCGGACACCTTAAAATAATGCCAGACCGGTGAAGCCATTTTGGCGAGCTTGTTTTGCCGCGCACAGAGAAAAGTGTCATGTATTTTACGTCATGCGATCGGCCCTCGCGATCGGCATGTTTAGAGAGCACCGATCGATCGGTAGAGAGTGAGTATCGGCAGATCTCGATCGGTGACCGATCGATCGGAGCATCCCTAGCCCTCACCCTGCTGACTGAAATGAGAAATGTGCCAGTTTTGAAATCTCTCATCTTGATCATACCCAGCTACCTGGTCAGTACCTGCCAGACAGCAGCTTTTTGAAAGCACGAAATCAGGCACTCTTTCAGATTTTTGGACTAGAATACTGAAGAACTTTCCTTTTGATGAAGAAAAATCACTCGCATCACTCTGGCTTTAGCCGTTTGCTGTCTCTGTGTAGTCTGAAATGGCTGCCCAAATACATTGACCTTTACATTCCCTCTGGATTTACACTCTTTCATAGAGCCCACAATGCAGTACAGTAATCCAGCATTTGACCCTGTCATTTTGAAAGTCAATGCCAACCCTGACCCAGCGGATATTGTTGGGTATAAGTGCTACATATCCCACAAACAAGCCTTGGGAGGGGGGGGTGGCAAAGTCATGTGTCTGCACCAAACACCCAGTCAGCAGCAGGCACTGAAATCACTGAAATTGCTGATTTGTGTCCGTGTTGAGTGTCGATTAGGGGTCGAGGAGTTAATTTCTTTCGACTTTTTGAATGTAAGATTTTCTAAAAAATCTACTTTATTTAGAAACCCTGAGTTTGGTTGCTGCTAAGGTATGGCTACATGTAAAATATGCACTGTACACACGATAAACCTGCACATACCATTTCTGCTCTTACATGTAAACTATTTTTGTCCTTTTCCCCGGAGCCTGTACACGTACGTGTGGTGCCCCATCTGTCATCTTCTGGGAACGCTAAAGGTTAAAGCTCCTAGATCCTGTTTTTAGATGTTGGAATCAACATGACGAGCTGCAATTTGTGACTTTGTGTTTGTGTGTGCAACTAATGATGAACAAATTATCTCCTCAGGGAAAGCTATCACACACTTATTGCAAAGAGATATGCAGATGACTTGCTGCACATACACTGACAGCACTGCTGCTGCCACACACACCATATATGCACATACCGTACTCTGCACCATGCTCTGCCAGCTCATGTTTTAAAGATGTGGTTTCTATATTCATCTGGTGACAGGTTATCAATGTGTGACAGACATATAGTTGAACTGGGGAAAACTAGGAGCCTGGAAGAAGATCCTTCTCACCAGTTTTTGCTCCAGTGTTGCTATTTTTCCTCAGGGCATCCTGTTGGTATTAAATATTTATTTCCACGTAGCTTTCATAGTTTTTCAGAATACATTTTCTGCTGTAAGGTACTTGAAACCTGTGAGAATATTTACCTTTTGCACAGAAACTCAGAGTCCTGGGCTTTGGTGGTGTGTTTCCCACGGCGGTTTGGGCATCAAGAGGCAATTTCAGATGAGTCAGTCTGGCATTAATACCATGCTTCTCTGTACCCACAGGCTGTCAGACATCAATATCACAGCTTTCAGTGCTTCAGGAAGTCATTTCTAACAAAACACCCTCAATGTTTACTGAGATGTGATTAATACGTTCTATTAGTGTGAAAATAAAG